AAAACAACAGTAATTTTAACTTGAACTAAATACAATGATTCATAGATGGTCTAACGACAATGTGAACAGTTCCATAAGACCGTACTGCAGGAGATTGATCTACGTTCGTCAGTTTGAGTGGCTGGTTACACGCGAGCATCAGACTGCAGGTGAAAGGTCACAAGGAAAGGTTATTTGGTCAGTACGACTGTTCAAAATGGGATGTTTATACATACCTCTGGACGCTGAGTTCAAATCTGCTTTTGTTGCAACTTTCCATAAACATAGAACTGAATCTAATCCCATTTTAGGTTTGGTCCGAAAACCTTCCTGGGCCAAACGGAAATATACGCTTGCTTCAAAAGCGATCGGGAAAGATCTGAGACATGCAAAGCGTCGAAAGTTTTGAGATCCAACAAGTTCAGTGCAGGTGGCTCCCTGCATTATGCACCGAAAATTCGAAACAATGTGTTTCTAAAACAAAGCACCGGTATGCGATAATTCGCATGTTACCAGCGTGTTAAAGAAACATACCTTGATCCAATAGTACTAACAGCCTCACTGAATATCAGAAGTTTTCGAGCTTGTTCCAAAAATCGTCCAAAGAGATTTACCTTAGGATCCAAAACACTCAGCAAAGGTACAAGACAAACGAACAACACTTTTTGCATTGAGTTCTATCTATCTTTTGTGGCTTTACTGTTGGTATCCTTACCCGTCGGTATCGACCTACCGACTCTAGATAGAATTTCCGCCACTCGTTCTTTTGAAACGCTCGGATAATTTTCACCAACAGCACGTTTGTTTCAAGTGAAAGCAAATTCAAAATACAACGTAAAAGACACTACCTCTAATATGTTTCCCTGCATGAAATCTTCCGGCATGTTATTGTTGACAGAAGAACCCGGTACGACAGTGTAGTGTTCTGCAAATATAACACAACTGCTAACTTAGAAACTTTCTAGTCGCTTCAGAACTGAATTGTAATGCTTCCTCGGTTAATAAGTAAGCGCATACACAAGCAGTACTCCGCTTTCCGCCATGGGATTCTCCGATATGAAACCTAGATCTTATCATTATCCTCATAACGTTCCCCCTTCTCTGAGCAACCGCAAACATCAACCTTACAAGCGGCTCATTACCACAGGAACCCACACATACGAACTTTTGCCTCAGTAATTGGCTCACCCACCTCGGAGTCCCTCCCCTACAAGGCTTAGTCCTGGGCTCTCACCTCTTGGGATTTGGAGCCGAGCCAGGCGCCGTTCTCTGATCGTCTGTGCTCTCCGCCATTCGTGGCAGGACCATAGAAGAAAGTTCAAGTAGTTCGTAAACCGCTAAAGCACTCAATGGATTTGACTCTGAGGCCTGACCAGCTCCTTCTTATTCCTATTGCTAAAGGGCTGAATAAATAGCATGAATAAACATGATCGAACTAGTGTCTCAAAAAAAACTGCCACCCATTAATCGCATCGAGTAAAGCGGGCAGATACGAGCAATAACGGTGGGCTACCCTGAGCTTGACGGTGATGGCGGATGACTATATTTTTGTTATGGTGAAGGAGATAAAAAGGGGTTGCCCTGCTTATAGCGCGACATATCAGAAATATCTTGCCTAGGACATCCACTAAGCACTAGCACACTTTTCAAACACAACTTGGTTTATGTGTACCACACGCGAAAAGTTTTCTCACCCTCCCCCCTTCCTCCCTCTTGTATGTTTCCATGTAGCTCCACACTCACACCTCACGAAGAATGGCTGGTCGATGGCAACGCTATCTATGTTATAGGACGGTAAAATTTCACACCAATGATCAAGACTTGAAAAATGGATCGATAAAAATTACCTTCGCGTCGTTCTCCGTTACTCATATGCTCATCGAGAATCTCGCCTTCTGCATTGGAGGATGAAGATACGTGCGACTTCAATTCGGCTAGATTCGCACCTTCGATACTTTCGCCATCAAGGTAATCAATGATTTCTTCCCCATCGATCAGTCCCACAACATGCTGTCCGTTTTCATCATCTACGAACTGCACGTAGCCTTCACACTGCACGCCTTCTTCATTCATGTACTGCACAAGATGCTGCCCTTCCTCGTCCACAAATCGAACCATTCGTTCTCTCTTGTGAGGCTCTGCTGTGTCGTCGACTTCATAATCCACATAGTCGTCGTTCTCGTACTCCATCTGCGCTTCTTCCTCAACATATTGCACCATCTCGCCTTCATCAGTATAGTTATCATTTTCCTCCTCCTCCTGATAGCTATCCTCATGATGGTGATTACGACTCCGATTTCTCAGATAATCCGGTTCAGACTTGCTCTAAAATAAAAAAGGTCAACAAGCAAAAAATAAGGACTCAAACACTTTTTGCCAATTACAATCATTCAAACCAACTTTTTGAGAGTACTCGCGCCTTTCTTGTCCATCAGTGTGTTCTTCGATGCGCTCACTTTCTGAAATATTTTGAAAAACTAGTGCAGTTATGACAGAAGCAAAACACCGACCCACAGGGAAAGGAGGAAAAGTACTGGTAATTAATCTGCTTTGTTTCGTTGACTGGGTTTTTTATCAACTTCCCGTAAGATGCTATCAGAGGCCAAGCTATGGGCAAAACGTTTAGCTTCAGCCAGAGCTCGAAGTTGTACTTGAACCTTCTTGTCACATTACTAATCCATCGTACTATACTACAGGAACTTCATGCGCTTTGACTGGACATTTTAACAGGACGTACTGACCAAATCATCTCGCCATCTGAGAAGGCGTACTTATGTAATTGTTTATGCTTATGTAATTTTCCACACATTTGATAGTTATCGAAAATCGTCATATGCGGTCAGCACAAGACATAGCAGTAAAGTATTGCTCACCTTTTCTTTGCGAAAAGCTGGACGCTTTGTCAGTCTTTTCAAGGACAATTTGAACTCCATGACGGGTCCCGCGGCTAATACGGTACTCAATGTCTTCCTTAAAGAAAAAGACTTACACGTAGCTGTTAAAGTTTAGATTCAAGTGGTGCCGATCTAACAAACCCCGTACACAGACGTTATTACGAGATCTCCAAGTGTAAGCTGCCCTGTATAGAGCATTACGTCGATTTCCGATAGTTGTTCGGAATCGAAATCATTGATTTCCTTGCCACTTACATCCACACAGCGGGTAGGAGGGGGAACCTGGAATTCACTCACCGAGATCCGGAAATGTTCTAGCCGGTTGAAAAAAAACTTGTGCAACGAAACAGTAAATGGAGCAATATTCAACAAACAATGCGAATAACATCGTCATAGATGCCAATCGCTTAGCCAAATGTGTTTTCTATTGCAGAAAAATGGTACTAAATCATGGAACTTCATAAAAACATGAACTCACAGCTTCACCTGGCGTTTGCATTTCGAGAACTGGCGGTGCTTCCGATTCTTCTGTCGCTCTAGCACCTTCATTCGTCTCTTTACCCGAGATGTCCTTTCGTCCAGGAGGCATTTTCAGAAGCTCACCCCCATGTGCAGAACTTGACTTGTTGAGTTCTACGTCGACAGGAGATCTTGATATTGGTGCTGAAATCTCAGAATAGTGAGTGAGCAACTTTCGCATTGTGGGCAGCATATTCAGAGTACGATTATGAATGAGTGTGGAAGATAAAAGTTGCGAAACAATGGAACTTACATGTGTTCTCTCTTGTAATTGCTTTATCCAGAAATGCACGGTTCAACAAGTGCACAGTCCCAATGTGTTTATCCAAAGACTTCTGACCATAAAAAAGCACACCTGCAAATCACAGTGAGAACAAAACACTAGGCTTGTACGGTTACGGTTACATTACAAAAATTGGAGTGGCGCAGACCAAAGTTGCGCGATCCTATCATGGAATGACATTTAGAAGGTTTCTGTTCTGAGACACTACAAGCTGTGATGAGTGAAAGCGGAATACGAGAGCAGAACGATACGCAGCAGATGAAGTTATTCGGCTGAGTACACCACTGCTTTCTCCTGAGACGTAGCTCATACCTTCTTAAAATATCTTCTAAACTATGTGATCGAAGGAGTTATTGAGGATTTTTACCAGCACTGTCTTGCATGATATCCTTACCAAAAAATCCACCTAGCTGTTTGCTAACTCTTCATGCAGGCATTCTCATGCAAGCACTGACGAAGTAATGATGTCAAAAATCTTTCCAGCTGTGTTGGCGAGGACAGAAAAAGAGCAAACTCAATATAACGGAGTAAGCAGAAAAGTCGCTTTCTGTCCTACCGCCAAACTCGATATAATGAGGATTAAGTCTTAGTCAAAAATCTTTACGGTAAGCACTTTCTCGTCGTCTTACAAATGGCCGCCGTTCACAACAAACGCCAAGAGGCCTCAAAAATTTCTAAACCTTGTTTTCCTTCACAAAGGTTGTCATATATAAATTACGTAAAGGTGCAATCCGAGCCCACAACGCACAACCGTTCTGATGTCTGATTTAAAACCTTCAAACTTGTTCCCCATTGACTTAATAAACTGTAGTGTGTACCCATTTTGACATGATTATACCCGTCATTTAGCTGCTGTAGCCGAATCACCTCTCCAAGGGAGATCATCAAATGTACTTTACTATTCACCTGAGATTAAACTCTAGAATGTAGTGTTTTTGAAAGGAATTTGGTCGGTGGCGAAGATGCTAAGGATCCTGCTCTTTACCCATGAAATAGGGATCGCACCAAAAAGGAAATAGGAAGCATGAACCTAATGGTAAGGAATCCTCCCCGAAAACGATGGGAAATTCAATGGTCCAATCAAGAGCCTTTCTAATTGTTGCATTCTGGGTTTTTGGTAGCTTAGGCTTCTGTCATATGACAATAAAAGAAAAGCAAACATTTGAGAAGAGCTAAATGCTGGTTATAAGAGGACTCAAAAACGAACAAAAATTTAGTTTGGCTGAACTTAAACCAAAGCTACACCTACATGCAGTCCTGTTACCAGTAAAGATAATAAATTTTTCGTTAAAAGGTTGTCTACTGATTACTCACCACAGACAGGACACTTCTTGCCTTCCTGCAGACTACTTTTCGATCGAATCTTGGGAACGGAAGCCTCGTTTACGCGAACGTTTCTTGGTACAGCTTTGAGGGACGGCCTCCTTTTCACGTTGATCAGCCTTGAACTCTGAAACAGCAATAAAAACTAGGCCAAGCAGTTTTAGACAAGCTTTTCTAGTTCTACTTTCCAAACGACAGTAACGAATGCAAGCACTAAAAACGTACTCCAGGCCGTAATTGTGGATCGGATTCCTTGATCTGCGAAACGAGCCTCCTCAGAGAAGCAGCGTCTAGCTACAATGAAATTATTCCGGTTAGTATCACGAAAGAAAAGTGTTATTACGCTGATTAATGCTACACTTCTGAAAACTTGAGGGATCGTGACTTTTGAGATAGCGGAGCCGCAAACTATGACTGTGAACTCGTCCCTTCAAACGTTTTACTCTATCAAAGTCGAAAATTAGAATGTCAGCAAAATTACCTACCAGTTTTCGAACGTCAGCACCCACAAGTAGTTTTGTGTAAGCGCAGCTGTGACGATAATGAAAGAGAAGATTGTAGTCATATTTGAACCTGAACAGACCTTTTATTTGGGAGGACCTTTTGAGCCGAGTTTTTCCCACCTATGGCCACAGAGCAAGCATTTGAAAGCCCCATAATGGGAATGAAACCCAGAGATGTGTCGCTCAAGGCGACCCGCATTCGCAAACTGCCTAAATTTTATATGATTGAGGAATTATAGTTCATAGAAGTACAAACCGTAAATGATCAAACAGACCTGAAACAGTCGGGGCACTCTAGCGGTTTCCCGTCCTCAGGGAATATTCCATTTTCCCCTATCAGCCGATATGACGTTGACTAACTCTCCATCAATATTTACCAGGGTGTCAGCGGGATCCACATAATCGTCCATGAACACCAAAGCCTTAAAAATCAAAAGGCAACTTATCAAAATAAGAAAAAAAAGTATAAGGTTAATCGATACATGTAGGTAAATAGACGTGAAACTTAAGTATATCTCTTCGCTACCTAAAAGGCGACTTCTTTACATTCATAACTATTTACTGCGTTATGGAAAAAGAAAAATGGTCTATTGGATGACGCAGCAGA